AGTCGGCTTGAGGGAGGTTGTCCCTCAGTCTGGGGGTCTGCTTGTGCCCCTGGAATGGGGGTGAGTTTGACCTTACCCACTATGCTCGTGGTTTGTAACTTTAGCAATTCTCTGTATTTGGATATAGGATTGCTTTCTCTCAGCATTACAGTAGAGCTCGCATAGCCAGATGAACTCCTTTCTGCCTCAACATTGGTCCCTTCTGCATTGATGGGGCCTAACCCTCAAGTTTTTCTAAGAGTCCTCTCTCTTGCACCTTTTGTACTTCTGCTATGGTGTGTTTTTCTATTTCAGAGTCTCCTGATGCTCATGGACAGCCCCCTGAATCGGGCTGGTCTCCTGCAGGTTTATATTCATACACAGAAGAATGTTCTAATCGAAGTCAATCCCCAAACCAGAATCCCGAGAACTTTTGATCGATTCTGTGGTCTTATGGGTAAGTGATTCGAAGTTCATATCAGCCACAAAATAATGCAGGAAGGTGGTTAGAAGACTTTTGGGAAGAGTCAAAAAGTTGCTAGCCTTAAAAATGTGAAAGTGAGAAAAGAGCAGAGAAATGGAAGTGTCCTTTTGTGAGTTCCACGATGCATAGTCCAACTGTGTGTTTTTTAGCACAGTGGGGAGCACCTGAATGACACTGTGCTAGCAGCAAAATAACTCACTGATCGGTATTTCTTAGGACCGCTTTAGAAAATGCTGGGAGCTCTAAAGATAAAACTTTTTTTCTACTTTAGCTCTGATCACTAGGTAGAGGATAAGATTTCTCTGGCAAACGAATAGACAGCTTAACTAATTTTCTTCTCTTGTCAGTTCAGTTGCTGCATAAGCTCAGTGTTCGAGCAGCTGATGGCCCTCAAAAATTGTTGAAGGTAAACATTCTTTGACCATTCACAGGTAATGTTGCAACATTCCTCCTTTGCAGCTAGCGATGTAGGAGTGGTGTGGGTTTTTTTTGTTTTGTTTTGTGGGGTTTTGTTTGTTTGGTTTTTTTATACACATCATGGACCTAGCTACGTGGCAAGGTCTCTTACCTCTAAACCCCTATTAACTTTCTGCTTTCTCTAGGTGATTAAAAATCCAGTCAGTGATCATCTCCCTGTGGGCTGTATGAAGATAGGTACCTCTTTTGCAGTTCCAAAGGTGTCAGATCTGCGTGAACTGGTTCCTACAGCGGAGCCAGTGGCCATTGTTGTGGGGGCTTTTGCCCACGGTTCGGTAAGTGCACGTATCCCTTATTTGGAGTTGTAAAAAATCTTTACCAGCATAGATTTCCGTCTTGTTCTGAGTATGTTGGTTTTTTTTTTCTTTTGTTCTTTTTTTGCTTGGTCCCGCCTCCCTTTTTTTCCCTCAGCTAGGCTTGTCAAAAAAAGGCCCAACCCTGCAACACTTGGGACTTTTCTCCCTCCTGAGAGAGAGCACTAGTGAGGGCTAGCAGTTGTCCTGCTGTGTTTTACTGTGGCTGTGTTCAACCTTGGAGAAATATCGTGCCTCTCCAACCGATAGAATTAGATGGGGCTAAGTGAAAACTTGCAGCTTGATTTTTTTTTTTCTTTTTTTCTTTTTTTTTTTTCTTCCCCCCACCCCCCCCTTCCTCTAGGTCAATGTTGACTATACAGAAAAGATGGTCTCCATCAGCAACTATCCCCTCTCTGCTGCCCTGACATGTGCTAAAATTACTACTGCCTTTGAGGAAGTTTGGGGAGTAGTATGAGTTTCTGCTGCTACTGCTGTCATGGTGGACTCCTATACCATGACTCCATGTTCTGGAGAGGCTTTTTTACTGAAGTGTGGACCTGGTGCAACATTGGGCTCTTGGAAGGGAAAAGGCTTCAATTTCGTCCTTTTAGCTTCTGGAGCAATGAGACTTTAAATGGACTGCCCCACTGACCTTTTTTCCTTCTATTAAAGGTCACTTTTGATAAGAGTGCTTGTGTATTTTACTTTCTCATGTTTAATATGTGGGCGGGCTTGGTCCCTTTATACCAGGGACTAAGCCCAAATTTGTCATGGAACTGAAATTCCTAGCTGTGCCCTGCTTGCCCTACAGCTGAAGTTACTCAGTCCTGTAGAATCACCTTGCTCAGTGGTGTGCGACAGTTCACACTCCCACACTGAAGCACCCAAGAGGAAAGGAGCTGAAGCCGATATGAAAAAGACCAGGAGCAATTTTTATCTTGGATGACAAACGTAGAAAAGTCAGAAGGTGGCTCCAATCCAATACAGTGCCTGCTTTGAGTGTTTTACAATCGTCTGGTATCAGCAGAGAGACACGAGTGTCCACTGGAGGGCGGCAGAGAGATAAGGCAACGTACAGAAGGCGGAGGATCTGGAAGGAGGCTTACTCCATTCCCCTCCTTTCGGGTCTCTGACCCTGTGCTTTCTCTTTCCCCCTCCTCGCGTTGAAAAAAAAAGTCATACTTCAACACAACAAACTTGGCAGGTGATGCTTTGCTTCCGGAGTGTTAAAGCAACTCCTACAAATGCACAGGTGGTACAATCTGAAAAAGAGAAAAGTGCTAGATTTGTTTTGGTTGTTTTTATGTTTGCCTTTCACCTTGGGATGTTACATTGCTGCCATGCTTCACCTCCTAGTCCAAGCATGGGATTCTCTCCACAGCCTTACCTTTTGGCTGTTATTCTGCTTTTTTTAGCTTTTCTTTTCGTGGCACAATTAATCTGCGAATGTAAGGCAACACCAAGAATAAGGTGAAGACCAACACATGGCCGAAGAAATAAATAGACCTGTACACCTGTAAAGAGAAAGGCGGAGTTAAGGATCAGCAAGCAGCTTTGAGCCAAGAACATATGAGAAGGCACGGAGGGAAAAGGATTGGTTGCATGGTCTGTTTGTGGCTATTAAATACCTTCATCCATTTGTCCCAGGTGAAAAGGCAAAATGGCACCAGAGAGTAACCCATAAACATCCAGTGGTTAGCCTGCTGCAGCACGTAGAAGATGGGCTGCAAGGCAGTGATGGAGGCCAACGCGCTTAGAGGAGGACTGTCCCGAACAAGATTTATGACCTAATTTAAAGAAAAAACAGAATTTTCCTCAGTTGGATGTCCTATGGCTATATATGCAGGCTCTGGGGCCAAAGTATCTATCCAGCTGTGTAAAATGAATTTTAGTAAGCAGTTAGCCTAAAAAAAAAAGCTAAGTACCTCATCCTGCTCAAAGTTTTAATTTAAAAAAAAAAAAAGTTTAAATATGGAATATTGTTCTCTCAGTACTGGGAGATTTAGCAGAGACATTCAGCTCATGTGCTTGTCGTCCAATCTTTCCAGCTGCAAAGCATTTCATACTCATATGCCTCTACTCATATGCCAAGTTCTCTACTTTTCTTCCCGTCAGCTTCTCCAATAAATTTATGGCTTGCCTGTGCAGAAGCCAGCAACCTACTGAACTCTTGAGAACAGAACCGTATCATGTTTGAACACCAATTCAAAAGTGAGCAGCTATTTTTCATATTTAATCTAAGTAAAGCCTTCAGCGTGGCAGTTTCCAGACTCATGGGGAGAGGCTAATGCAGGCCACCCCATTCTGGTAAGTCAGACAAAGCGCACCTGTCTTTCAACGATGACTATAATCAACTCCATTTGAAAGCACACCAGGTAGCCAGAGTGCAGCCCGTGCCAAATGGCCAGGAAGAGCAGGGCCAGTGCCTGTGACAGCAGTTTGTTACCCAGGAACTTCAGACGCTTGAAGATGTAGCTAGAGCAGAAAAGAAACAAAGTGCTTCTAGTTTATCGTCTGTCCTCCCCTCTCCACATGTGAGGTGCAGGGCGCAGGGGACCGTATGCCTTTGCACACCCTGTGGTGACAGAAACGGCAAGACAGCTCCCCTTACCAGGGCAAAATGTACCTCAGCCCTTGTCTTAAAGAAATCCCAGCTAGCGGAGAGTTCATCCGACAACGCACACAGAAATGAAGGTATTTTACAATTCAGTTGTGTCCCACAGCAAGTGCCGAACCAAAACCCGGTTGAGTCATTGTATAGGGAGCATCAAGAGGCATGATATAGGAACCAGCCGTTAGAGCAGTTCTGCAAATGTTTGACCAGGCAGGCCGAAGGGCTTGCTGTAGTCCCGTTCTAGCCTTTGCCCTCCTGCTGCCATCAACTGCTTGCTTATATTAATGCACTGCCCTTTGAATGAAAAGATCTAACCCAGTAACCTGTTTCAAATGGGACAGCAGCAAAACATGAAAGAAAGAGGGTAAGAACTGAAAACGGGCAGATTCTTCCTCTAGTGCTCCCTCTCAGCCTAGGACCTTAGTTCTGTTGACAGACGTTACTGATACATTATAGAAGGGGAATTTTGTCTTGCTCACCGGGCCACCCAAGCATTGGTGTTGATGTTGAAAGAAGCAATGGTCCCTGTGAACAAAGGTGTTGTCTCATACAGCCAGACCTTCATGTTGGCACAGGCATCCCACAAAGGCTTTCCGTTCTGGTCCTTCCCATTGTACCCCAGACCAACAAGGATGCAGACACCTTCCTATGGAAAAAGATTCAAAAGAAAGATGAGAGGAAAACATTGCCCCTTTTTTTTTGGAAACGCAGAGCTGGGGAAGCTCTGACTCTCACTCTGTTGAGTGGAGAGATACCACTGCAGATGGAACAAATGGATTAAAAACTGCCTGCTTTTTAGTTAGCTAGCCTTCACTAACTTAAAGCAAGCTAAACTGACCTGCACTGATCAGATATTTGGATTACTTCCATTTAGCGCTAAGTCCAAGAGCATACTAAGTAGCTGCAAAAGTGCTACCTTTGTTCATTTGTCTTTTGTTTCTGGAACGACATCCAGACTCACCGTAACAAGCCAGCAGGTTACGTATTTGTAGAGTATGATTTTGCCCCAGACCAATATGTAACCACAACGGAACCAGAAAGGCTTCTCCTGCAGAGATAAGAGTGAAATAGAATAAAAATTAAAATAATGAGACAAGGTAGATGAGATCTCATCACTGTCTTTCATTTTAATCTGATGTATGTGTTGAGACTGCTACATGGACTGGACTGCCAGGCTACTGGCTTATACTGACACAGAAACACTGACAATCTGCAGGTAGGAATTACTTAAGTGTTTTCTAAGAACCTCAAAGATTCTGGTAAGCCTTGCAAGTTACTCTAGTGAAGTTCTTTGCATGTAACGGTTCAATGGAAGGTCATATGTCACAAAATACGTATGTTAGGTTTCCAAAAACAACAGTAGCACCTAAGATTAATTCTCTATTTGTAAAAGTTTTCATTTGGTTCAGTTCAGCTTAACGCATTCCTGTTCTGCATCTAATGGAATCCACAGGACAGGCAGTAAAGCCAAATCAGTTGTGGAAAGGCTTACCACTAGTTGCTGACTTAGCCTATTTTTAAATTGAGGCAAAACTAAAAAAAAAAAATCCACTCTTGTAGATCCAGTGCCCATCAGAGAAGTGGAATTCTTCCACACCCCGGAACTGCCAAATGAATACATACCATATAATCATCTGAGATGAGGTATTCATCAGAGATGTACAGGCTTGACAAGGTATACGTTACTAGAAACAAGAGACCCAAACTCAGGCGCTTGAGAGCAGGCACAAAACTGAGAAAGAAAAATATGAAGGTTAAATAAAAGCCTTGGAAAGAGATCTTCAAACTCGTAATTTTAAAAACAGAAGTGGAGAAGAGGAGGTAGGGGAGATAGCGATAGGGAGTCACCACATTCCACTGCAGCAGATGCCTCCATTTGGAAGCTGGGATGCTAACATTACCAGGTTGGGACCGAGTCTGTGCTACAGATGTCAAATGGTGGTGGTTGTTCGTGCCCTGGAACAACACTAGGACATTATGCAGAGAGTTATGAGCAACTTTTGAAAGACTGCCTTGTCTTACACATCACTTTTGGTCACAGTACTGCAGTGTCCAATAAGAAGGCACTCTGCTGCAGGGAACATGTGAGGATTCAGCATTCTGGGATCTTAGGAAGGTGAGGAGCTAAGTGGCTTTTTATTACCTATTGGGTCTCTGGCCTGGAACGTCAGTCATCTCACCCCTTGCCAGTTTCTGATAGTCTGTCATGGAGAACTGAGGCCCCACCATGAAGGCACCATAGAAATAGGAGAATCCTGAGACCTCCAGCAAGGTAGGAACTCCCCGGACAGCAAATCGCCGCTGCTCAGGGGTCAGGAACTCCTGCACCAAAGGGAGTGGCATTAACATCATCCTAGGGGATCTCATACTAGCTCTGGATGTTATGTTCTCAGCTTGCCTCCTTAATGGTCTCAGTTCTTGCTCTTCATGTATATGGAACTTTCCACTTTGTACTTCACATCCATTCCTCTCCCCAGCCCTTTCTATCCCCACCCCCTCTAACTAGCAACAAGATCCAATGGTTGAGACCAGTTGCACAGATCTCTATTCCCAAATAAGCTCAAAACATGGAAGAGGTCTATTGACATGCATCCTTGCCAGCACAGCAGGCACACTAAAAGCACAGTATCTGACCTGTTCCAGTCCCTGACTGCAATCGCATATACTCCCCCAAGACCTTATCATCCTACAATTCCTACTTCTTGATGCAAGACATCATTGTCTTTAAATACTTGAAACTTCAGCTTAGGAAATTTCAGCTCAGCCTTGCTTTCTTGCAGTCAGCAGTGATTCCATGGATGCTAAAGAATGGGTTAGGCCCCAAACTGGAGATGGGGAATGCAGATACTTGAAGTAGGATTAAGAGACCGTAGCAAGTGTTCTGCCCTCTCCCACACATTGTGCTGTGCAACTTCTCTCACTGTTTCATCTGCTCTAAAAACAGGGCCCTAACAAATGGTAAAGGGCAACCATTCGCAAGGATATGGTAAGACTAAACAAAGGAAAGGAAGATGGGAACTGAGATCCAGTGCTGATGGTCTGCAAGTTAAAGGTACTACTACCCACAAGACAC